GGATGGAATTTCTGCAGCTCCAGCCTAGTACTGCTACCCTTTTTTGGTAACCTGTTAAAGTTTAGCAAACTTCATTGAAGACGGCGCACGGTAACAACAGCTTGCTGTTCTCACCGGGCGTTGCCGTAATTCCGATTACTCTGTGCGCCTTCGTAGTCGGATGAAATATCGCAAGGCCACGCCTCAACGGTTGGCTAGGCACCCTGTGAAAGTAGATAAGCCGTCGGCCTGGAGTTGCCGGTCTCTGTGGCGAGAAATTAGCTTGCACTGTTACTGTGTTTAAGACACCAAAGCCCTGCAGTGATAGTGAAGGCAGAACAAAGTTCAAGTAGAGGAGGCTAAAGTCGTGATTTAGTCAGCATGATGGCGTTCACCGAAAATGCAATTATATGCGCTCAATCGAATCCAAATATTTGTTTTCACAAAACGGATTTAAGGCTGCGCAGATAAGGCCTATTTTCGAGAATATAAGTCGTATAGCCACCACTCGAGGCACTAAAACCCTTTTCATAAACTAACTCGCATGCCACTTGCTTCCTTTCCATGCTGAAGGACCTAAGGAAAACGGTGACGCTAGCCGCCGTTCCCTTTGTCTGACAGAAACCCTTTCTGTTGAACAGTTGCACCCTGCACATAAGTGGGGCTGTAATCCGTCGATTTCTCGTGTTTACAGTCCTAAATGGAGCAGAGAAATCATAAGTACAATCGTACCATCCGCCTAGAAGACGGTAGGGACGTTGAGGTTGCTGTATCACGTGCCGACGGACAGACAAATGAAGATGAAAAGAAACAGATGCTCTTGCTGAAGCAATAAATATATCGGCCTGACGTTTCAGGCATCAGATAGTAAAGAAGAAAGGGCCCGCAGCCATTATAAGAAACATCAGGAATACTTTATCGAGTCTGATACAGTTGCGGGCAAAGAAATTACGTCGGAGGAACTGGAAGACTGCTCTAGACGCGGATGGACGAACGCGTGACAGCGAAACGGAGGACCGAAGTTCATTCTCAAGTCTTGGTTCATTCGACCTGACCCAGTCATACATTCAAAGTTTGATGAGGCTGAGGTCCTCGCGAAAGGTGACAACTGCGCTAGCCGCGACCTGCCCGAGTCATGGTTCATGGGTCCTCGGTCTAGTAACAAATCTAACGGCTTCCCTACCAAATATTAGCTACTGAGATGCAGTCCGGTCAAAAAAATCAGCCACTAGGGGAGCGCGCAGGCAAACACTATGCCCAGCACCAGTGGGTCAGATAGCCCAGCAGTCATCACGTCTATATCCAACACGTGTGATTAAATTTCAAAAATTCACCACTTGAATACTTGCCGCCAAGTAATTAGCGCACCAGAGGGCAATCATCTCCGAGGAAAAGAGAGCCATTGAGTGTCATTGGTATACACCCTATAAATGCTGAAACCCCCTATGTATGAATTAACCGTATCTAATGTTTTCCCTGATGATGGGTTTAAGCATGAAGCCGAAACGTCAGGCGAATAAAGTTGCTGTTCCAGCTAGTACATCTAAATCTTCTCAACTAATACTTGGGATCATATTTTCGCTGCCAACAAGCTTGGCTGAGTAAGTGTGAGATGCAACTGAACTTGGTTGTCGAGTGTTTATTTGTCGAACACGACTACGATCAGCACTAGCGTGGATAAATGGCGCGACTACC